CACATATAACTAGAATTAAACATATTCCTCCTTTTTGAGACGAGCTTGTTTTCTTAGCATATAATGCATCCATGCTGTAATATATGTCAGACCTCATTTTAAAATCTGAATAATGTCCTGCTATATATTTATACTGTAAAGCATAAGTTACATCACAGATTATTTATATACTTGTCCACCTCAGACACATCTTGCCTTCGCCTTTTAGCTACTATGAATAACACTGATTCAAACATGGACTTATAAATACCTCTTCAGAGATCTTGCTTTCCATTCGTATGGCTTCATACCTAGAAGTGGGGTCACATGATGATGTGCTAATTGTGTTTTCATTTTTTTCAAGTAGTAGCTCTATTGTTCTCCACAGAAGCTACTTCATCTTTCCTCCCCAACCATGCACAGTTGTTAAAGTTTCTCTATGTCCTTGACATTTGCTATTTTCTGTTGGTTGTTTTTTGTTTGTTTTTATCATAGCCATACTAATGGACGTGAAGTGGTATCAGTGTATTTTTCATTTGCCTTTTCTTAGTGTTCAGTACTGTTGAACATCTTTTGCTATTTTTTGTTGGTCATTTGCCTATCTTCTTGAAATAAAATGTCTATTCAAGTACTTTGCTTTCTTTATTAATTTTTCTTGTACTTGGGATTGATTCACACTGGGCTACATTTCCAGAGATTTTTTGCTGTTTTGTTTTGTTTTGTTTTGTTTTGTTTTGTTTTGTTTTGTTTTGTTTGAAACAGCATCTCACCAAGACTCCAAATTGCCCCAGATGGGCTCAAACTTTTGCGTCTCTTGCCTCAACCTCCCAGCAGATGTTGACCACACAGGCTCCTTTGCTCAACCGGCCAGCATTGTTGAAATTTTGGAGTCCTTTGTGTTGTTTGGATGTTAAACCTTTGCCAGATATGTGATTTACATATATTTTCTTCTACCCTCTGGGCTGCTTTTTTACTCTGTTGGTAATGTCTTTTGGACCACAGAAGTTGTTTTTTGTGAATTTAAATTAGCCTGTCTCTTCTTTTGCTGCCTGTCCCCTCGCTGTCAAATCATGGCTATTTTCATCTTTATTGTTGAATGCCTTTTCTTTCTTCAGAGAAGTCAGCTGACTAATGTGAACCCTAGTAGAATAAGTTTGTCTTTTTTTCTTCCACTCATACAATGAGCTTTAACCATGGGAAAACAGCTCGGTTTCCTTTTGTGTTGACCCAAACAGGGCAGGCAGCTTCCTGGCTGGAATGTAGCACCAGCATAGAGTTATTATCTGGACTTGACACCGGCTCTACACGAAATTGAACAAGCTGGGTAGCTCTCAAACCCTCCATTTCATCATCTGTAAGTAGATTCACAGTAGTATTTAATTTACACAGCTCTGTGAGGATTAAATTAATGTGTGAAACAGCATAGTATATGGATCTGTGTTTTTAGAAGCCTCATGAGTACATATGGTGCTTTCTCCATTCAGTGCTAGGTAGGAAGTTTTGTTCTGAATATCTGCAAGGACTGAAGCCCTAGCATAACACACAGCAGGAACTGAATACTGATCCACCATTATGTTCTGACACTGGTAGGTCTTGGAGTTAGATATAGAAACCAGAATATCTGAAGAACCTGAGACCAGTCTAGAAAATCATTACTGGTTAGTTCTACTATGCTAGTAAAATCTTAGGAAAGAGTAACTCCATGGCAGGCACCATACAAATTTAGTATCTATGGATAGTGAATAAGAATAAGATGGCACTGATGCATAACTTAGTACTGATGTCACTTGAGCCAAAGATGTTTAAACAGAGTTGAAAGACACTCCGTGACACTCACTGCTCTAATGACATAAAATATCATTGCACAAAAATGCACAATGCCCTGATTCACAATGTTTATCCCTCGAGAATTATAGAAATATGATGCACGAATGAATATGCACAAATACACACACACACACACAGATACACACACACACAGATACACACACAAACTTTTAAAAATAAACCACTTAAAGCAAAGACTAGGTAAAATGAGAGATGGGAAAAATGTCATTTTAGACAGATAGTCAAGAATCATATCTTCTTTTTGTACAGAGATGTGTGGCATTTACGAGTAACCCAAATAGAGCCCTGGAGGAGAAGTATTCTAAACAGAAGCAGCAAATGCAAAATCATGAGGTGCAAATGCACTTATTTTGTTGAAACAACAGTAAAATGACCAACAGCTAGAATGTAATGAGAAAAAGAAAAGGTAAAAGAAATTCTAAAGAAGATTTAATTGAATATTGCTTCTTAGTGCCAATGTCCATCGTGGGAATTTAAGGTCTATGAGAGCAAGCATTATTGTGTTCTTTGTGTGTCATTTTTTCCAGTCACTAGTAAGATGTTCATGTGGAGTTTTGAATGAGTAAATTTTGTTTGGGGACCAGAATTGAAGAAAGAAAAGGAAAACTAAACAATTAATTTTTATGGAGGTAGCTATACTAGTTCTATACTTCTATAATGAAATACCAGAGAAAAGTTCTGTTGGGAAAAAAGGTCCAAAGGTGAGGGGCTGCACCTAGCGTTAGCACTCCTACAGAAAGAGTGTGAAGATGGCTCAGGACATCGCACAGCAGGATGCAGAAAGCACACATGCATATATGAGTTTATGGCATCTGGTCTTTCTCCTTTTTAATAACCCCCCTAGGTTCCAGTCACAGAAACTCCTTCCTAATATCCCTGTCTAATCCTATCCCTTTTTGAAGACTCCTTCTCTAAGCACCATAGACCAAGTAAGTTTCTATAATACCTCACAGTAAGCATTACACTCTAATAAATTTGTGGGGGACAACCAATGTTCACCTGACAGCAGCATCTGAGAGCCTGAACATCTCATTGGCCAAGATTCCAGTTGAGAGAACTTCTGGACAAGGAATCCAAAGCAAGTGACCAAAGACACGCAAATTCATATGGGATGACAACATGAGGGATTGCAATAACAGAGATCTTCATCTGTTCAAATATTTCCTATCCTAATCTAGTTTCATATATCCCAGGTATTACAGAACAGATTACAGAACAGATCACAGTGATGGCCTCGATTCTTCTCCCCTTTCCAGATACTTGCCTTTTGCCACATCATTTTTGCACTGCTTCCTGCTATACACAAGATGAATGGATTAGCTCTTGGCTTGGAGCTCACCTATGTGACTTACTTAAAAATAGAAAATGAGGTGGAGCTGAACCCTGTGCCTATTTCAAACTTGGTTGATCCTCAAGAAAACATGAGGGCTTTGGTGTGCTGTCCAACATTTCTGTCATTGCCATGAGGATAATTCTGAGCCACACTGTTGGGATAAGAGGTAGTGACAGATGACTCTCGTTCTCCCAGCAGGAATCAGCCAAGATCTGTAGCTAAAGACCACCTACTCAATTCAATATGAACTCATCTACATGCACAATAACTACTTTTCACTGCATATAATTGAGTTTACTATCCATCAAAAACTAAATGATAGGGTCAGGGAGCTAGCTCAGTGACTTAAGCACCTGCCTGGCAAACACAAGGTCTTGAGTTCAATCCCTGATTTAAACAAAAAACAAAATCAACTAACTGATAAAACATGTCCTTTTAAATTCCTTCAGGTTCTTTAAGTTTTTCTTATTGAAACAAAATAACAAGCTTGCAGAGGTAAAAGATACTCTGATCTACAGACACAAATACCTTATTAGCCAAATATAACAGCAATGTTTACAGGTTCTTTATATTTAAAATATGTTTAATATACCTGGTATTTTCTTCTAAGTAGGTGCATGGTCAGGTACTAGTTCCTTCACAGTTTAAGGAAACTCAATTTTTCTCTACCTCTTATACCATAGGAGCATAATAGTATAGATCTCAGCAGGCAAAACAACTAGAATAGAAAGTGATTCTCCAATAAGAGTGAAGCTTGCTACAAGCTAATCAAACTTTTTCTGCCACACACAATACCCTGTTCGCCAAAACTCTTTGTATTAACAGGCATTTCTCACTGACTCATTCAATGGTCAGCTGAGCTCTGCTTTGCACTAATAAAAAAATGAAATTCAATTTTTCTTTTTTAACAGTTTATACTCTGAAATTGTTTCAAGAATGTGCATCATAACATTCTTGCCTAGAAACAGCAGAAATGCCTCAATGCTGATGTAACCAATCAGGGAAAGGTAGTTTTGAAGAATACTAGGGAATTGGGTGGTTCAGTTCCTAGGTAGACAGTGCAAATTAGAGAAGGCTCAGTCAGAAAATCACTGTTCCTGAGCATCAGACATCACAAACACAGACCCTGGACCTTGAATATCCTTGGGGTGGCTGAAATGGATTCACAGACAACACCATGTCTCACACCACATGGTACAAGTGGGAGGTGGTAACACATCCCTGAATCCCTCACCAAACATAGGACAGCCACTCACACTGCCTCCTAGATTGTATTTAATTGTCCCTGTGTTGATGGGCCTATCCCTAAGTATTGTCCCTTAGTTCCAATCAAAGCAGAAGAGAAGTCACCCTCTTGGAGGGGGGCTAGATAAATAGTCACTTGGCATTTTGCTTTGGAATAAATGGGTCCTTTTACCCCAGAGTTGCATATATCAAAAATTTCCCCAAATATACTAAGAACATGTTTAACAGGAAATATGTCCAACACAAATTATATTTTATGTAACACAGGAAAAGTAAATGTGAGGTCATGAGGATAGGCATTTTTTTTTCACATTGCCAACAGATTTCTTTTTTTTTAAAGGAACAGAGAAAAATAAAATCACATGAGGAACATAAGTATGGAACAGAAAATATATACAAATGTAGGCCATTTTGTTAAACATTATATAACCACAACAAGCTAGCACAAAGAATGTGCTGTACACAATATGGAAAAGGCTCCAAGATTAAAGTGTTCGTTTATCAAGGACGAAGACTTTCATTCTCTGTATTCAGAATTTAGGCTACAGTCCTTGGGGTTGGATGGATCACCGGATGTGTGGAACAGTCCATGTTTTTAAGCTGATCTGAACTGAAGAATGGCCACCTGGCCCAGGTAGAAGTAGAAGTGTTTGGTTTCGTGTGTCACATAACTACTGAAGTTCCTCCCCACAGTGCAGTGGCAGGTGGGGTTGCACTTCGTGTGAAACTCCTTCTTGATGTGGGCCTCAATGTCCTTTTCTCTGTTGCATTTCTCCAGCACCTGCGTAGTACACTCTACTGAATCTTGTTGCATCTCTTCTGACACATCCACATCTTTGGTCACTGCTGTTAAGTTACACATGGTTATCAAGAAGCAGAAGCTGGCTGACTGCAAAGGTCACCTAGAGGAGGTGCTGGTACCACTCAGGCCAGGTGGGAGATGGGAGATGATGTAGCTACCAAATCATGATCTCTCTCTCTCTCTCTCTCTCTCTCTCTCTCTCTCTCTCTCTCTCTCTCTCTCTCTCTCTCTCTCTCTCTCTCTCTCTCTCTCTCTCTCTGTTTCCCATAAGTGGAATCAAACTCAGGACCCTGAGCTTTCCAGGCAAGTGCTTATGCTGATGAGCTATTACTGACATGAGGCAAAGAGAACTGGAAATTATATATTAACTCATTCAACAAATATTCCCTGAATGTGTCAATCATTCTGTCAGTCACTCCGTATAGAATCAAAAGATCAATCCAAGATTGCATAGTACAGTTGGGGTGCTTTAGGTAGACAAGTTTGTCACACTAGAAAGTGGTATTTGTTATGACCAAAAGAAAAAAGCTGAAGTCTGACTGAGAGAAAATAGATGGGTATCTCTTTTCTTAAATAGCAGTTAGGAGAAAGAGACAATGCTTGAAATGAGTATACACAGCTGATGAGAAAATTGAACAAAATTCTAAGTAAAGTAAAAGGCCCAAGTCTGAAACAAATTTAGCAGGTTTTAAAAATAGAAAAAAGGCCAAATGTGGCTGACACTACTTTAGATCTAAAAAGAAGCATTGCAAGTGAGAAGATAAGTTGCTGTCAAACTCAGCTATTTGTCGAAATAAACACCCCTAACCTGTAAAGGAAGTTGAGACTATTGAAACTCTCAACAGCATAATATGTTCCATGTCCACTATTCATCAAGGACTAATAGATGTGCACAAAACTAAAACGTGATCAATCAAAAACAGGTTTCTGAAATGATAGAAATAATCCAAGTAGACAAAAATTTTAAAATCACCTTCATGAATGAATGTCTCATAGCTTTTCTGTTTACTTAAACAGCATACCCATCACCCAAAGTTAAAGAAATAAAGGTTTACATCCCCTGATAGTTGCAGAGGTCTTAGCCCATAGCCATCTCATCCCAAGGCAGGATGCGTGGCATAGGGGCAGCACAGAAGAGGAGAAGCCCATTGTGGGCAGGCAGGCAGTAGCAAACAATAAGCAGCAAGACTGACGGCCCCTTCTACCTTTCTATTCAAACCAGAATGCAAGTTTATTGATTGGTGCCTGCAAGCCCTTGCAGGAGGCGGGGGGCTTGCATTATTCATACCCCAAATTATGTTAATCTCATTTAAGTACCACACACTCTTAATCCCACACACATTCTAGATCCAATCATATCCAAAAAGTACTACCTGCCAGCCCCTGAGGTTTGGGTAGGACACCTAGTTAGGAGCCATAACAATAAATACGATGATCAAGTGAAAATGTGAAAGCTAGCAAACAGAAAATAATACAAACTGAAAAAGAACTAAAAGGAATAAACAAAGCTAAAATATATACAGAAAATACATAATTGAAGGTTCACTGGATGAACTTAATGGCAGGTTAGATTCTGCAGAATAAAGTTGAATAATCTTCAAAGCAAACAATACAAAGTATATCCAAACTAAAGGACAAGAAAAAAGGGTGAAATAATGAAGGAATTCATTGAACTTTGTGATAATAGAAGGAGATATAAAATGTGGAACAACAAAAAAATACATAAAATAAAATAAAGTGCAGAAATACAAATGAAGGAGGGAAAATGTTTGTCAAATTAGTACACCAAACATCAAATCTTAGTCTAGGCAAATATTAAAAAATACAAGAAAAGCATGATTGAATTACATGAAGAAAGAAGGGAGGAAAGGAAGGAAAGGCAAAAAAGAGGAGAAAAAGGGAGGAAAGAAGGAATTATGAAGAGGGAAGGAAGGAATTGTGAAGGAAAAAGGGAGGGAAGGAAGGAGGGAAGCAAAATGTAATTAAAGCAGTCCAAGGCATAACATGAACCAGAAGCATGACCAAGACTTTTAGTTAGTTAAATGCTACATAACGAAGGCACTTGGATAAATCATAGTAAAATTACTAAAAGACAAGAGAAATGTTAAGAATATCCAAGCTACAATGGGGCCAGGGGTGGAACTATTACATGCAGCATCTACAAAAGCAGCATAAACAACATACAATTGCCTACGATTATATTCTGTCTCCGATTATATTCTGGATAATCTTGGTCAAACTGCTGAGAACTAAGGGGTGTTTAATTTGTAATGTTATAGCCATACAGAGAAAAAAATAAATATTAACTACAAAGAGATGATGATAAAAAGTCACAGTAGACCTCTCACTAGAAGCCATGAACATCCGAAGACAAAGGGGTGATGCATGTGCATTGGGAAAGGAAAGCACTTTGGGCCAAGAATTCCATACCCACAGAAAAATTTCCAAATTTATATGCCCAATCCATAAAATGTTCTCACACTTCAGAAATAACATTTGTGAACATTATGGTAGATTGGAGTAGGGTAGGGTATGAGATAGGATAGAGTAAGTTCTGATAGGATAGGCTAACATATTGTAGCATAGCATAACGTAGATAGCATAGCATAGCATAACATACCATAGAATAGCCAGACAGACAGTAAGAGAGAATCATTGCTGATAAAAATGTTTACAGTTCTCAGATAGTGTAGAATCAGTTAGATCATAAGTTTATAAGTCAGAGACAATTTGGTCAGTTTCCACTACCCAGCTACTAGGTCTATGTTCTTAGGTAAGTGCCTTTCTCTCTCACAGATGCAGTTAATTCATCTGTACCATGAGGGAAATAATATTTACCTTGAAGCTCTGTAGTATAAAATAACAATGAAATAACGTAAGCAGTGGAGCTCTATACAGACTAACAAGCATAGTTGGCTTATGAGCTACCTGAACTGAGTCTATTATTAGAAAAAGAGAAAGAAAAAAAAAAAGATGGGGAATGTTTCATTTAATCTAAAGCATGATGTAATCATGTGAGCTCTGTTTCTGGAAAAACTACCCATCCACATCCACACCTTCAAAATGCCCTTCATTAGTTTTGATCCAGGTTGGAAAGAGAAAAATTGCAGAGCTAACAAATGTAGCTCTGTACAGGTGCACCTTAGTAGAGTTGAGAAAAAAAAAATTGTCTCTCACACAATGCCTCCAAGCCATTATGATCATTTCTCACTCCCATTTTCTTAGGTTTACAAAATTTACATTATAGTCACTGTTAACCCCTAGACAAAAAGGAAGGTGATGAAGAATCTATAGATCCAGAAATATATTTATTTATTTGCGTGTGTGTGTGTGTGTGTGTGTGTGGCCAGCTCAGCCCACCAGGGGGCGGGGCTGGCTGGCATGTGGTGCTGGGGGATTGAACCGCGGTCCCTGTGCTTTGCTAAGCTTGTTCTAAGTAGGTGCTTTAGACCACTGAGCCATCTCACCAGCCCGATCCAGAAATATAAACATGGCCAGTGTAGGTCTTGAGAACCAATGTAAACCAAATTATTCACATGTATATTTCATACATCAACCTTTAAGCATTTGGGATTTAGTTTCTTAATCAGGAAACTGCACATAAAATGCAACCTTGTTTTACAAGTCTAGTTTTCATTTCAAACTTCCTATCCTATAGTTGTCATAAAAATATTTTTATATTCTTCCTTCACTTGAAGTTAATTAAATCTGAGCAGAACTGGGATGAAACTATAAAACACAATAGTGAAAAGCATAGGCTAAATTATAGTAAAAATAAAATTTGATTCCAAAGTCTTGTGGTGGAATAAATTCTGATATTAATACCAGGATGATGATGGAAAATTATTACGTCCTGCTGTGAGTTAATGAACTTCAATTTTAAGCATTTCAATCATTTAATTTCTCACTTGTAAGATACTTTAGAAATCATTCTTCATATCATCCTTTATGCTTATTACTGGAGAAAAGTGGCTCAGAGAGGGAAAGTGACTCCCATGAACTCACAAAGCTTGCCATGACCAACCTAGGTTAACAGGGAGGAAAGCCTAATTTCCTAACTCAGACCAAAAATCTATAAGACAGGAAAATTATAACAAAAGATGGGCAAGTCAGAAAAATATGGAACCAAGTCTCATTTTTCTAGCAAATACAATCTAGGAGTTATTTAAAATTTAACCCTTAATTATTCTGTTAGAAAATGACTATGAGAGTATCTAACTTAAAGGCATATGCTGAACTTCAAATATGCTTCATACAAAACAAAACAAAACAAAACAAAACAGGCTCTATCTGGAAAACTGTAAAGCCCAGCAAACATTAGCTACTGGAGTACTCCTACAGCTTTATCACCAACAGTTGAGGTTTGCCCAATAATGATGCCACTGCCCACCAAAGACAAAGGTAGTCATGGGGCTTCTTTATTATGAATAACGACTCAGGAAATGGTCATTTCGAAATAAGTCATTAATTTCATTTTTCCTTCAATATTGCTTACACACAGTTTCTAAGTCCACTTTCCATTGTTGAAAAGATCTTGTACATAGCTTGGAAGAATTGGTGCCCAGGGAGAATTCCTGAAGTCGTTGCCTGTACAGTAACATCAGAAAGTCTAGTTAGTCCATTAACAGACTTTCAAAGTAAACCATCTCTGCCATATAGAAAGTGCAATATTTTGCACATACATAAGAGTATGTTCATTTTTATAAGATACTGTGTCAGAATTTGGAAATGCATTAAAAAATTGTGGTATTTTTGTACAATAAGTATTACTCAACTATGAAAAGATAAACTTGAGACTTTTAAAGGTAAATAGATGCAATTACAGGCCATATTCATAAGTGAAATAAATCAGACCCACATTTGTAAACCTCATATTGTCTCCCTAGTGTAAGAACCTGAAAGAGTAAATAAAATCTGAAACATACAATAGATGCTGTAAAAAAGAAGGAAACTGTTCAAAGGTAAGGAACAACAGAGATGAGGGAAAGGAGGAAAGAAAGAAAGAAAAGGGCCAGATGGCTCAGTAGGTTAAGTGCTTCCCTGGCAAGCACAAGGGCCCG